AATGAAAGAAACTTCAACAAGAATATGCCAATGCTGGCCTAGATATTAACTTCGCGAAAACAGAAGTAGAAGTATACAGGTGCCTTTGTGTTTAACGATATATGGCTATTTGTACGAGTATTTGAGAAGAACATTGTATCAGGCGGAGGCAATAACTCGTTGTAAATGTATGACAGGAGTATCGTTATTCCCTATGTTATCCTGTTTACACGATTATCCGTCAAAAACAACGCTCGGGTGAAGTTCAGGTCCCACAGATACATCTACGAGGTTGAAAATCAATTGAATTTAATGAACATAACAATTCAGAAATGAGACGTACAGTTCACTCCTTTTATTTTAATAAGGAAATTCCTACTCTAGACAAAATCTTTTCTGAAATAAAATCGAATGAAGTAATTCCCCAAATGAGTCGTGAAACTTTGCATAAGAATTTTTGCATGCTTTGCATTTTCAGGTTACAAGCAAAGCAGTAACATCTCCAGAATTTGCCAACCCCTAGTGTTGGCGAAACGTCGAGAACTAATCTCAACAGAAGACAACGGCCCAACAGCCCGAACAAACAGTTTAACAAGTTAGACGATGGCCGTGAGTTTATTTGCATAAGCAGTTACATAAATTGAAATTTACTTATGATGCTAAATATAACAGGAATTCAACGTTGATAGAAAAATCTGAAATCATTACACGGCGTCGCAACTATCTGCGTAAAATCCGAGTTCCGTGAAGAAAATAGAAAAATCTATTATTTTGACGAAATTTGGGTCAATGCTGGACATACTGTTAAAAATGTGTGGACTGATATTACTGTAACAAGTAACAAGTAGTCGCCAAACTTTTGTTGAAGGTCTATCTCAAGGATTCCGAGGACCGACAGGTTAAGGACATCAACTCATAGTGACCCATATTGGATGTGACAGCGCTTTCTAAAAGACAGTGGTTTAATTTTTTATAAAAAAAAACCGGTGATTACCATGAGGACATGAATGCAGATCGTTTTGAACAGTGGTTTAAATATGTTCCAGCAACGTGTTGAAGATAACTGATATCATCGTTATGGACAATGCATCATACCATAGTCGCCGGATTGAACAAATTTCCACTTAAGAGAGCCGAAAGGCTGAAATGTAAAAATGGCACAGGGAAAAAATATTCTGTATTATGAGAATGCAGTTAGAGTAGAGTTGATGTTTTTAATCAAACAACATAGACCTAATTATATCGATTATGTAGTGGATGGAATGGACTGTGCTCATGGTGTTACTGTTTTAAGATTTCCACCATATCACTGCGAATTGAACCTAATTGAGCTAATTTGGGCACAAACAAAGGGTTATGTGGCACGTCACAATATAACTTTTAAAATTGAAGATGTGAAGCGTCTGCTAAATACTACTATTGATGAGAATGAGAATGCTATTTCACTGTTGGTTGCAATGTGCTGATTAATCTGTTGTTTCTTTATTTTACTGTGTAAATACGTTTTGACAAAATGTCAGGAAATTGATTAATTCCGCTGTTAAATAAATAAACCAGCTCGGTTATTTGATACTCAAGAGAATTAAATTTTTCTCAGAAATAAACTTTTTGATCATTGTGTTTCGTTCTGTTTACTGCGGTTAACACAATACATGTATAATCTTGTCGATGTATAACTTCGTCCAAACAAACACATTTTGACATGTTTTTAGAAGACATTATGTACATATAGACCAAAACAAGCATCTGTGGTTGCTTGTACTTTTTATATTGATTGACTAAATAATTGAATATCCTTCTTAAAAAAAAAAGAATATACTAATTTGAGTATCTTACATCTTTAAGTATTGTTTACGTAACCTAACTGTACAACTCGCATCGAGCAAATAAGACAAAAGAGGGAATCTAATCGTTATAAAAAGGAGACCAAAAAAGTGGCCTCTGATGGCGGACACATCCGGAAATGCAAAGGCGCCAAATTTAAATTTTTCGACACTTATCAACAGTAGCTATATAATATTTTTCAAAATGTGTCTTAGACGAGAAAGTTTAATTAATTATTAACGATAGTAGTCTAAAATGCGACACAATTGTTGAAAAACTTCAATATAAATAAGATTTCATGTGACATTTGGGACAAACAATAACATAACCCAACTAAATTTGATGTCAAACAAGGAGAGAGACTCTCTATCCTTGTCTAAAGTGGCCTCTCAAGATGGCACTTTCTGTCTATCATATGTTTACCCTTCTACCTTTACATTCCTCTTTTGTCTTATTGCTCGATGAAACTCGTGTCATCTCTTGTATATAGTGAAATGATAATTGAGCCACTTTGAAATGAAAGACTCTCTGAATTATACAAAAAAATCAGTGAGCCTCTCTGCTTTTAAGCTACTCAAATAATATATATTATTTTAAAATTAATGTAAAATACCTGGTGCAGTTTGTATGTTCCTTGCGAAGGTCACCACTTGATATTTATGTCGCGTCAACGGAAATTTCCAGAAAATTCTACCCTATTTGACGGCTTTATAGAAAGAGACAGGAATATAAAGTATTGTTCTATTATAGAATAAAATTGTTTTGGAATATTTACACATCGTTTTTTTTTTATTTTGTCTCGGTTTATTGTATTAATTGTACAATATTTACTTTAAAATAATCAAACTATATTATTTACTATTTTTATTCAATTTCTCCATACTACTTGGCTAATGAATTAACTAAAATGTCGATATCTAGTTTTTAGGCATTTAATTTCAACTATCATTTCTTAATAACAATAAGATAAAATAACCTGAGTATTTAAATAAATTCGGAGGGAAGCAAACTAGTTCCACTATTAATTGTCGAATATTCGAGTATTTTCTCCATCTTCCCTAAGTTTTTTCATAGTCATTTCATCATTTTAATGTTGATATTTGGAACATTTTTCAATCTTTTGAGATTAGAGTAGATATAAGATTATGATCCCCGTAAACATTAGCTCCTGGATGTTTTACCTTGGTATAGGATTTTGTCTTAGATATCTACTTAAAACAATTCAATATTATTTGAAACATTACAAGTTGAAGACTATGATGGCATAGTCTGGTATTGGATACCAGCTCCTAATACAATTATTGATTTCTTCATTGGCAATACAACCAACTCCATCCAAGTGTCGTTAATGTCATTAGCAATGTAAATAATAATCTAAGTTGCAGAAAAAACAACTGTTTAAATCGTGAAAACAGGCTTATTATACTCGTACAAACAAATTTTAAAAATTTCTCTCAAAAGGTTGAAGATTCTAAGGTATGTCTGTCAAGGATGGCAAGTTTCCAAGTGACCTTAAAACGGGAGTAGTCAGTCCAATTTTCAAAAAGGGAGATCCGTGTTTGGTTGATAATTACAGGCCAATCACCGTAACAAGTGTACTCTCTAAGATTATCGAAAAGTGTATTTATAGTAAAATGTTAAATTTTCTGAATAAATATGATATCTTAAATAAATGCCAGCATGGGTTTCTTCCTAATAAATCTACAGAGAGTGCTTCTATTTCATTATTTAATTATATCCACGCTGCTTTGGATCGAAAAAGGTATGTGGGTGCACTCTTTTTTGACTTAACTAAGGCTTTTGACTCTATTGACATTGAAATTATACTGCATAAATTAGAAGCCCTTGGTTTTCGGGTTATTTCTTGAACTGGTTAAGGTCATACTTACAACATCGTAAATTCTTAGTAAAAGTCGATAATAAGAAGTCATCTGTTTTTAATCTTGATCGACGTGTACCGCAAGGCTCCGTATTGGGACCCCTAATATTTCTTTTATATGTCAATGATTTGGCACATTTTTTAACTGCAAACCATATAGTTCTTTATGCAGATGATTCAACAATTGTAGTTGACGAGTCAAATGAAGTCGAACTCATATCAAAAATGAACTTAGTAGCACAGGAATTTACAACCTGGTGTAAAAGGAACTCTTTAATGGTAAATGCAAAGAAAACTATTTGTATGTAGTTCTACTTGCGCTTTAAGCCATCCCATGGTTATAAAATCACAGTTAGTTCTGAGGAAATACCTTTTAGTGATACAACATTATTTCTTGGTAGCATTCTAGAAAGTAATATGACATGGGATGAAAATGTCATTAAAGTCTGCAAAACAATGAATAAGGGTTACTATGCGATCCTTCAGTTGAAAACTCTATTTAACACCAATCAATTGATAAGTGTGTATTATGCATTGGTTTATTCATATATGGCCTATAATGTTGTCTTGTGGGGAAACTCTAGAAACTCTTCTAGAGTTTTATAACTCAAAAGAGGATTCTTAGATTGATATTCAATATTAATAATAGACAATCATGTCGTAAATATTTTATTGAACACAGGCTGTTGACTTTTCATGCTTTATATATTTATAAGTGTATTATTCACGTCAAAACTAAATTTCAAAATTTTACCCTCAACTCTGACTTTTATAATTACCCGACAAGACACGGGAGGTTGATAAGCGTGTGTAAACACTCCACAACTCTCTTTGAAACTAGTCCTGATTTTACAGGATCTAAATTTTATAATTGTTTGTCACTTAATATAAGAAATGAAAACAATATTCAAAAATTCAAAATAAATTAAAAGCATGCTTAATCCAATTATGCGTTTACAACCTAAATGAATATTTTGACTTAATAAAAGACTACAGAGAATAAGGACCGACGGGTTCAGAGACGCTCTATATTGCATATCTTTGTTTTTTATTTTTATATTAATCTATATTTTATTGATTTTGTTTTATGTAACTGTCCTATATAACTTGTTGATCATGCTTTATGTACTATATGACTGGTCCTATATCACAATGTGATCTGATGGGATTAATAAAGAATATTCTATTTTATTCTATTCTATTGGACCACTTGTTTGGTTTCGAGTTACATATAACGTTCGGACATCTCTGAGCTGTAAATTGTGTTTACTCCCCTCGCGCTTGTTACAATGTATTCAGATTTTTTTTTAATTTTTAGGAGACCGATACGGACCCTCCAGTCGCCAAAATGAGCCGTCTCTCCGACACGAAAGAAGAGGAAGCCAAACCTTTAGAGCAGCTTCTAACCGCGCTTCGTCAGCTGCTCTACATGTTCGAAGGAGTCATCCAAGAAGGTTCCATCACCCAGCAGACGTATTTCGCTTTCTACCTCATCAAATCCTTGGTCGAAGTCAAGGTCCCGGCTGCTAGTTCCGTGTTGGCTGCCATTCCCTCATCTCTAATATCGGATTTACTCAAAACGATGCCGGATCTGTTCAGCTATCCGCTTTTGTTGCACATTCATGATGTTATGAGTACTGCTGGAAGAATCAATATGGCTAAGGATTTGTGTATATTGAGGAACTATTATTTGAAGAATGCTAAAGATGTTAGTGCTCGATAGGTATGCCATCTGAGTTGTTATGGATTGTATATTAAAGCGAATGAGGTGCATTTTCGGTTCCTTGGGGAATATAACTGTAGCTTGCGTCGACATTCTTCTTAGTATTACTTGATTACTTGTTTGTGGATAAGTTCTTTTGTGAAATTACAGTTGAACCTTATTCACACATAAACTCATTGAAAAGTCGTCGAAATCGTATCACCAAGTCCTTTTGTAGGCTGTGGAAACAAATAATAATCTCTAGGAATCAAATCTGGAGAATAGGGCGAATATCATCTAATTGGAAAAACAATTTATGATATTTTTTGCAGAATTATGGGCAGATGTGATATCTAGAGGGAAAAGTAGTTTTTTTTACCAAACGACCCCATTTCTCGTTGGTTTTTTCATTCTTTACCAGATTTCAAGACACATTATCTTTGACGTACTGTCAAAAACGGACCAATTGACAGATTGCTTTTTCCTGTCATATATAACCTACAAAAATATTATTCTATAGAATAATAAATAAGATTCCTTTAAATTCGCGTCATCTAGATAGTAGACCTAGAAGTTTTCGCAACCTCTTCCAGTCGATGCATATTTTTAAACCTACGATTGCAGTTTGCATTTTTTTAAACTTATTTTGAAAATTTTTCTGACATATGACACTGACACAAATTTATTTACTTTTTAAATACCATTCTCAATTTTATATTTAATGTAATTTTGTTTTATTTATATTAGAATAAAATAGGCAAAGGAATAGTAAAATAAATGAATTTTTTCGTAATATATTTTGAGTTATTTTTATCCTGAACACTTCTTAACCTTAACTTTTTGCAACCACTGGACTAAGAAGATCGTAGAAAGAATAATAGAGGAAGGAAATATGTTGTTTGTCACGTTCGTATTGTACCGTTTTTAAATAAAACGAGCGGTTCGAATTTATATAAATATATTTATTTATAACTTTACAGTTCGGTATTCTCTTATCAACTAAACTTAACTCCTAATTCCGTTACATATATATACCAAAGTATTATGTTCGAGAATATTCGGGACTAGTCCCACCTCTAATTCGTTATTCGACGGGTGGAATTTTACAGCGCTTGATATAAAGCCGACACTTCTCGATGCTTCGAGATGCGACCGTTAGGCGGGCCACTTAGATGCTGTTAGCTGCTGAACGCATGTTCGTAACACTGCTCCCCTCTTAGATCTGAGCGTCCCGATCAGGAACTCTATCTATAGGTCCAGGATGGCGGAATCTACAGGACTCTCCAGCTCTGCATGAACCCTCAGAAAGAAATAACAGTCTACTGTCTTTGAAGGACACGATCTCTTCGGATTAATGCAACACACAGTAATTCTTACACCGGTTTCTCGGAAGATCACTTCAAGCATACTTCTGACAATCTTCCAATCCAGATTATCTAGTGCATGGCCTATCTTGGGTAAAGCCAAGTTCTTAATGTCGTAATTGCAGACGATTTTCTTCAAATTAGTCAGAGCACGCCATATATCCTCGTAGCTTGCCCTGTCTGTATACGACTTTCTGGTCACCATATACAACAAAGATCGAGAACCATCTTCTAATCTCAGCACTCTTCCAACTTTAGGCTGCTGGTTTTTTAACTCGTCCAAAGCGACCAAATTTCTTATAAAATACGGACGAGATTCCTTTAGTCATCTCAAGATCTTGGGCAACACAGTGGGCTAGAGAGACGTTATGCGGAACACTAAAAAGATCCTGCTGAACTTCTGTCGTCACGCCGAATCTAGCACTTCTTTCTCTCTGCGTAATTTGACATAAACTCCTTAAAGCTTGGTCGCCGTTTATCTTTGATCTCATGTTGAAGGGTTCGGACTTCTTCGGTTTCATTTGAGCCAGCATAAGGTGCAAGACGATTTATGTGAACTACTTTTGGTTTACCTTTCGGCAACTTCTTAATTCGGTATATTACGTCATTTATTCTCTTTTTAATTTCATACGGACCCTCCCATTGTCTTTGCAGTTTAGGAGACAAGCCACGACGACGTTGTGGATTATAAAGCCAAACAAGATCACCTACTTCATAGCTTTCATTCTTGCATCGAGAATCGTATTGATCTTTCATTCTGTCACTGGCTAACTGGATGTGTTGTCGGGCAAGTTCATGAATGTTGTTCATTCTTAACTTCAGGCGATCGACATAATCTTCGCTTGCAACATGTTCTTCGGAAGGTCTGCAGCCAAACTCTAGGTCGCAGGGCAAACGAACTTCACGACCTAACATCAGGCAGGTTGGAGTCTGGCCTGTAGTTTCATTCACGGCCGAGCGGTATGCCATTAAGAATAAATGAATGTGCTGATCCCAATCTCTTTGATGTTTTGATACAACTTTGGACAGGTGTTTACCCATCGTTCGGTTCATCCTCTCGACCATTCCATCTGATTGAGGATGCAGGGGTGTCGTTCTGGTCTTATTGACACCAATCAATTTACAAACGTTTTGGAAAAGGGTCGACTCGAAGTTTCGCCCTTGGTCGGAGTGGATCTCCAAGGGAACACCAAATCGGCTAAAGAATTCTTTAACAAGTACCTCTGCAACGGTAGCAGCTTCCTGATTTGGTATCGCATAGGCCTCAGTCCATTTTGTAAAATAATCCATGGCTACCAGGATATATTTATTTCCATCGTTTGTCTCTGGAAGTGGACCTGCAATGTCGATTGCTACTCTTTCCATAGGACTACCAACATTGTACTGTTTCATGGGTGCCCTCTTTTTACCAACTGGACCATTACTAGTTGCACACAGTTCACATTTCCGGCACCATCTTCTTACATCATCTTTACAGTTCACCCAATAGAACCGTTCTCGAACCTTTTGCAGAGTCTTCGTAATACCAAAGTGTCCACCTGATGCACCGTCATGCAACTGACGCAATACTTCTGACACTTTACTTTTAGGTACAATCAACTGAAGCTTAGTTTCTGTACCATCATCGTTCTCAAAGGTTCTATACAGAAGATCATCTTTCAGCACTAGGCAATTCCATTGGCTCCAGTAACACTTGACTTCGGACTACATGCACTAATGTCTTGCCAAGAAGGTCTTTCACTTCGACGCACCCAATCCAATACTCTTTTTATACATGGATCATCTGCTTGGGCGTCTTGTAGCTGTTGAGGCTGCCATTGGTCATTAATAACGGTGGTTCGCCTAACGGGGCAAAATCGTTCTTCTAATTCAAGACAATGATTACGATTTGCACTGTATGGCCGTCTTGATTGAACATCAGCATTTGAATGACTTTTTCCAGCCCAGTGCTCGATCTGTTCTAGCTTTCTGACTGTTGTATTATTTTCTTGCACTTTGTGGCGAATGTGACCTTCGTTGTTACCATTCCAACATCTGGGTTCACGTTTCTTCGGCATCATGTTACGAACTACTTTCCGTACGATTTCCTCTAGACGTTTATCGTTTCGTTCGTCACTTTCTTCAGAGGTTCGTACTTGATAGCTCCGTGAAACTCGACTAGCTATCTCATGTTCCAAGGCAATGGCGAGCGCTTCATCTAAAACTTTCGGTCTTGCTAGTCGTAAAGCTTTCTGTAGTTCACTGTCTCTCAACCCATTGACGAAGGCATCTACAGCAATTTCTTCCAAAATGTTGTCTGGTACCTCTGGATAGGCCAACAGCGCTATACGAGCAATATCTGCTTCAAATTCTTGCAAACTCTCACTTGCTCGTTGAATTCTACTTCTTATTTGTACTTTGTAGACTTGTTGTAGATGGGCATCTCCGTAACGTTTGTCTAGTCGAGTGAAACAAGGTCTGGTAACATTTTTCTTGACCCTTAGGAATCGATCTTAGGATATCTGCAGCATCACCTCGTAAAGCAGCAGTCAAGGAAACAGCTTTTTCTTGTTCTGTCCAATGATTGGCTGTCGCAATAGCTTCAAATTGTCTAAGGTATATGGACCAAGAGGACTTTCCATCAAATGGTGGCAATTTGAATCTCATATGATGTGTCGTTTCGTCTCTCGGTGATTCTTCTTTCACTACCGGATCTAAGGCTACCGTATTAACGGGTGGTAGCACTTTCGTATTAGTTATCATGGTCTCTAATTGTTTGATCTTCTCTTCTACGTTGTTTACATTTTTCTGCATCTGATCAAATGTTCTTGAGACTTCTTCAAATTTCTCACTGTTCTGAATACATACTTCGTCGAATCTTCTAGACATATTTTCGAATTTCTCGTCGTTTTGTCTAGCTGTTTCTTTAATAATTTGAGAAGTTTCTTCAATCATTTGAGACGTTTCATCGAATCTTTTGGAAACAGTCTCGAATTTATCATCATTTTTTTTAGAAGATTCTTCAATCATTTGTGACACATTTTTTATTTTTGTTAAAACTGCTTCCTCTGCTGACTGGAACTGGAATATCTCTGGGTCGTCTCCATTCTTGTTGAGAACAGTCTTCAGTCGTTCTTGGAGTATCTTCTTGGACCCGCTGCAGTCTTCATCGCGTTCTTCTAGTTGCTCACGCAACTGTTTCACTGAAAGTTCTACTAGCAGCATCTTTGGTCAGGCACACACGTACTTTTTAAATGTTCTTTCGTACAACGATCACTACCGAACAACGCGGATGTTCCCGACGAACACTACTTTTCAAAAGTCTCTTTTTTCCACTGTTGGATTTATTTTTAAATAAATCAATTGTCCTCACACGGTGACACCAACTGTACCGTTTTTAAATAAAACGAGCGGTTCGAATTTATATAAATATATTTATTTATAACTTTACAGTTCGGTATTCTCTTATCAACTAAACTTAACTCCTAATTCCGTTACATATATATACCAAAGTATTATGTTCGAGAATATTCGGGACTAGTCCCACCTCTAATTCGTTATTCGACGGGTGGAATTTTACAGCGCTTGATATAAAGCCGACACTTCTCGATGCTTCGAGATGCGACCGTTAGGCAGGCCACTTAGATTCTGTTAGCTGCTGAACGCATGTTCGTAACA